TTAATATTAGTTCTAGGAGGCATTATGCTGCTTGTCTGAAATGCACCTTTGAGCCAAAATTTCTGTCTTCTTTCAGCAGATGGTGAAAATTGGTTGCTGGCACAGCATCCCCAAAAGCACTTTAGCTTAGTGTAGGAGGAAGGTGCTAAAGTTCTGCTCTTTCCTTAGCACTTCTGGAAAATCCCTGCCTATCTGTTTCAGTGGAGGAGTCAATAAACAGGTAAGGTTAAGTCAATAAACAGATAGGGCCACAATAAGGTGGGTGCATAATTGGCTGGATAACCATAGTCAGAGAGTTGTTGTTAACGGTGCTAAATCCTGCTGGAAAGGGATAACAAGTGGAGTTCTGCAAGGGTCTGTTTTGGGACCCGTACTGTTCAATATCTTCATCAATGACATAGATATTGGGATAGAGAGTACGCTTATTAAGTTTGCAGATGATACCAAACTGGGTGGGGTTGCAACTTCTTTGGAGGATAGGGACATAATTCAAAATGACCTTAGCAAGTTAGAGAAATGGTCAGAGGTAAACAGGATGAAGTTTAATAAAGAGAAATGCAAAGTGCTCCACTTAAGAAGGAACAATCAGTTCCATACATACAAGACGGGAAGCGACTGTCTAGGAAGGAGCATGGCAGAAAGGGATCTAGGGGTCATAGTGGACCACAAGTTGAATATGAGTCAACAGTGTGATGCTGTTGCAAAAAAAGCAAATATGATTCTAGGTTGTATCAACAGGTGTGTGGTAAGCAAAACTCATGAAGTCATTCTGCCGCTCTACTCTGCACTAGTTAGGCCTCAGCTGGAGTACTGTGTCCAGTTCTGGGCGCCACATTTCAAGAAAGATGTGGAGAAATTGGAAAGGGTACAGAGAAGAGCAACAAGAATGATTAAAGGTCTAGAGAACATGACCTATGAAGCCAGGCTTCATGAACTGGGCTTGTTTAGTTTGGAAAAAAGAAGATTAAGGGGGGACATGATAGCGGTTTTCAAATATCTAAAAGGGTGTCACAAGGAGGAAGGAGAAAATTTGTTCCTCTTGGTTTCTGAGGACAGGACAAGGAGTAATGGGCTTAAAGTGCAGCAGGGGAGGTTTAGATTGGACATTAGGAAAAAATTCCTAACTGTCAGGGTGGTCAAATATTGGAATAAATTGCCAAGGGAGGTGGTGGAATCTCCCTCTCTGGAGATATTTAAGAACAGGTTAGATAGACATCTGTCAGGGATGGTGTAGACGGAGCTTGGTCCTGCCTTGAGAGCAGGGGGCTGGACTCCCTTCCAGTCCTATGATTCTATGATTCTATAAGCAGTATCTGGGTGCCTGGCCCTAAGCAGACTGAGGTAGCCTGTGCAAAGCTGTGAAATACTACATGAGTGGGTGTGTGGTACAAATGTCAACCTAGCTCTAAACCAACATTACTGTAAAGAAAAGAAATGTTTATCATGTTGTGAAGTTAAAAAACCCACAGTCTAGATGAGGATCTGTCGAAAATAAAGCCTTTTTTGACAGATCCTGTAAACCTCATATTTTGTGGAATTCAGGATCTGTCAAAAAAGGATTTATTTTCAACAGATCCGTGTCTAGACTGCCATTTTTTCCCCGAAAAAGCTCCGTTTCGAAACATGCTAATGAAACATGGAATATTTAAATCCCTGCTTCATTAGCAATTTCGACGTGCCTAATCTACATCTCTCTGTCGACAGAGAGGTGTAGTCTAGTTGTAGCCAGAGTAATGTTGATTGCATTTTATTCTCCTCACCACCGCCATCCTGCCTCTTGGAACTTGAAAGTTATCTCCATAGACAGCAAAACAGTAGAGATTTCAAAGGCAGACATTCAATTAAACTTTTGATCAAACTGAAGAGAGGATAGAAGCTTTTCTCAAACCTTTTAAATAATGAATATGGTTATGAAATGAAATGGGCTGCCACCCAATGTTGCCCCTCCCTTTCCAGGCACTGTATGCAGATGAAAGCATTAGAGGAGATTCTTAGGGCAAGTCTCGTCATTTGTTGACAAATGTAAATGACTAACACAGTTTTGTTCTCTGCCAGCTAGGATGTTGCAAACACACACATCAGAGTTGTACGGTGTGCTGTGGAGCTAGTTTTCTGGATTTGTGCTTACTTTGCAATTCTGTAAGCACATGTTGGATTCTGCATGGAATGGACCTGTGGGAATAAAATATAGACACAGAAATTCTTGAGAAGCTGGACAGTGTTCCTTCCCTGGTCATGGCTCTCTTTTCTCTACAGAGCTTTGGAGAAATTTGCCTTACCTTGAATCTTCTCTGGATTTCTTAATGTGATTGTTAAATAATGCTGAGCACAGCAAAATGCTGTATTGTTATACACAAAGGCAAAGGTCAGAACATTCCAACTTGGTTGCTTAAAGTTAGGCAAATACACTTGCAAAGCATTTAAAGCATTATGAAGATCTAGCCACTTATTTAGAAATCTAACTGAACTTAGGTTTCTCATTTTCAGCATCTGAACATTTTTGTCAGTGTTCTGCAGAAAAATGTGAAGCTAAAGTGGGAGATTGACACTTCACATTTTTGCAGTATTGCCAACCGCAAATACCCAAAGGCTGCGTCTAGACTGGCAAGTTTTTCTGCAAAATCATCTGATTTTGCGGAAAAACTTGCCAGCTGTCTACACTGGCCGCTTGAATTTCCGGAAAAGCACTGATGATCTCCTGTAAAATCATCAGTGCTTTTCCGGAAATACTATGCTGCTCCCGTTCGGGAAAAAGTCTTTTTCTGAAAGACTTTTGAGCGAAAGGGCCAGTGTAGACAAAATAGTACTGTTTTCCGAAAAAAAAGCCCCGATCGCGAAAATGGCGATCGGGGCTTTTTTGCGGAAAACTGCATCTAGATTGGCCACGGACGCTTTTCCGCAAAAAGTGCTTTTGCGGAAAAGCATCCTGCCAATCTAGACGTGCTTTTCCGAAAATGCTTTTAACGGAAAACTTTTACGTTAAAAGCATTTTCGGAAATTCATGCCAGTGTAGACGTAGCCAAAACTTATGAGTCAGGCCCCATTGCCCCCACAAAAATGAGCTTTTAAAAATACTAAATGTTGTGGGGGGTTTTCACCATTGCCTTCAGTATTCACATTTTCAAGATTGTCTTCACAACCAGAAGTGCTAAAACGTATCTTTGGGGGAAACAATAAGTGTTGTGAGAGTTGAAATCAAATTATCAGAATTGACGTAGTTGCTAATGGAAGAATAACTTGATCTGGGAATAGTAGACAATCTCTGTAGCCTCAAAGAAATTGCTTTCAGTATAATTTACAGTAGCAAAATAAGTCATCAGTATAAAATAGTGTTTTGCTACTTGTCCATGCTAAATGGCTATCTGTATTCATAACCAGAGCACTACTAGAAGCGTTAACTCTGATCAACAGTTGTGGGTAATGTAGAAAAAGATGGGGGACATATGAAACTTATGTAACCCCAAAGGAGATTACTCAGATTCCCGGGGCTCTGTCTGCTGGCAGCTCAGGGAGAGGCTCTGAGTTTGCCTTGGCTCCCCCTCCCTACCAGGGCCAGAGTCTGCCAGGCAACCCATAGGGAGTGAGCTGCCCCTCCCAGGGGGAAGGAGAGGCCATTGTGGAGGGGAGTCTGGAGCCAGCAGGGCAAGGGGAGGGCTGGCTGTGTGAGAGCTAGTAAGCCCCAGGCCTGCATGCAGGGTTCCCCCTGAGAACTGGCCTCTAGGGACCTGAAGGCAGGATCCCTCCGCTGGGTTTTATGTCTCCACTGTTGATTCCCAGTTTGTGGAGTTTGCTGGGAGGCTTCCCCAGCCAGGCTGAGCTGGCTCCAGCTCCCTGGGTGAGAGAGTCACCGCATGGTCAGCTCTGCTCTAGCAGTGAGTTCAGGGCTGCTGCCTGCTGTGTGGGTCTGAATGCTGGGCTAGGAGGTTATAGTTTGAATGTTGGTGCAGTTGTATGGCCTGCACCTTGAGCCCTGCACCCCTTCACGCTGAGGGGAAATTCTGGGACCGAAGCAGCCTGGTTCCTGCCTGAAGAGGATCCCTGCGAGAAGAGAGCAGACCCTCTGCAGTGACTGAGTCATCTCTCAACCTGAGGCTTGTTCATGCAGAAGCATCTGATTTTCCGGAAAAACTGGCCTGTCTAGACATAGCCATGAAGGGATTTACCACTTGTGAGTCCTTTGGGCTGTACTGGACCCAGTTAGCCTCACTGCTAAACCACTGCAGAGAAGAAATTTGTGGTCATAAGTCATCAAGGGCTCCAACAAAGTACGCGTACCAACGGGACACTGATCTTACAGTTGCTGGGTACCGGTGACCCTAAAAATAGTGTTTTACCCTGTTATGTTCTATTTGTCTCCTGTTTAATATAATTGTGTTTGTGCTATTTTCTGGGAGTCTCCAACTATCTGGCAAATACGTGGGGATTACCCTGGGCTAGAATTTTCCTCCGAAGCTGCTCTGGTGACCCTGCCAGGAAGGAGTGAGGGGGGTGGAGGTACCGCCAAATGAATCCATCAGAAAAAATAAAGTTGAGTGGGTGGTGGGATCCAGAAGAACCCAGACCTATCCATCAAAACCTGTAAGGAGATTGGCTTTAAAGAAGGTAACCAGGTGGAGAGGGGGCGCTACAGTTACATAACAGGAGACTTGCACCATTCCAAGATCTCACATTCTACTCAGGATCTTGGTGGGTATTTTCATCTTGTGACCAAGTATATCTCTGCCATTTCATGATGAAACTGCAAATCAGATTAATTTATTCATGTATATTACACACTATAAAAACCAAAACACTAAACAATGTATTTGATCTCTTCTAATAGGAAAGTGCACTTTCGATTTTGAAAATGAAATAGTCTTAGGCCAAGAGTTCTTAAAATTACTGTATAAAATTAGGCTCTAAAATCTGTATTTTAGAATTTAAAAGGGGCTGTTGGATGATCAACACTTCCCTGCCTCTCCCTCCTTCCCCCCCCCAAAAAAAACCAAAACCCAGACCACTTATTTGGGTGCATTATTATTGATTTAAAATACTGATTTTAGGCAGTTATTTTTAAAATCCTGTCTTTAATACTTTAAAGATAGTAGAGATACACATCATTGTGAAGAGTTCAGAAAAAGACAGTAGAGGGCTGATAGGGACCCAAAGAGATCATTAGTCCAGCCCTATGTAGTGAGGCATGTTTAAGTATACCTAGAACACTGGATTTCTATGTTGGGTTGTGGGCACTTCTGGTGGGCCCACAATACTTTATTTGTCCACGTGTCCATAGCTCCAGAGCCTTGCTTGGCTGTGGCTCGCCATTTCCAACCGAGGGAGCAGCAGATGGGCCCATGACCCAACTTGGAAAACCACTGACCCAGACCATCCCTCACAGGTGTTTTACTAGCTTCAGAGAGGTACTAGAGTTAGTCTGTATCAGAAAAAACTTTTTTAAAAAACAACAAATAGAATTAAAGACTAACAAAACATGTAGATGGTATCACAAGCTTTCGTGGGCGCAACCCACTTCTTCAGATGAACATCAGATTACTTCTTGAAGATCATCTGTGGAAACAGAGAACAATTGATTACTGTGTTCTTTTGCTACAGAGTGCTATATGTGTGCACCAAAATATAGTTGCAGTTGATGTAATTTACCCATAACATTGAGTTCATAACTCCACTGCTGCAAAAGCCTTAGTGCAATTAAGTCAATGCAGTGTCAGTGTAGATATTGAGTTGCTTACCTTATCTACTGCTGCCTTTCAGAATCTGTCTCACAGTGCCCCACACTGAGAAGTAAATTGGTGTGAATGCCCCTGGGGAGTCTGAACACAAGGAGCATAAATTCAAAAAGTGATTTAATTATTGCAGAGGCTGTACGTCAACATCACTTAAGTTGACTTATTTTTGTAGTGCAGACTTGCCATAAACCTTTCAGCATTTTTCTTCATCTCCTCTGGACTTACTTCAAGAATATGTGGGTAAATTTGAGAATAAATTTTACAGCTGAGGGCTTACATAGAGGCCAAGTACCATGGGAAAATTACCCCACTGTGTCTTACATATACCTTTCCTGTTAATACACTTCAAAGGATTAGACTTTTCAAAAATTTCATCGCATTATTGATTTATGTTCAATTTCTGATCCACTGTAATCCCTAGACCCTTTTCAGAAGCACAATAACTTTATCAGCTATTCCCCCGTTTTGTAGATGGGCATTTTAATTTTTTCTTTCTTTCTAAGCGTCTGTCCACACTAGTGGCAGCATGTAGAGCCATGGTCACCAACTGGTCGATTGCGATAGACTGGTCAATCGCAAGGCCTCGACCAGTCGATCACGAGGCGTTCAGGCCCCCCTCACTTCCCATTTTCCCTCCAACCCCGAGAAGCCCCACTACCTGCCTCCAGCCTCCACAACCTACCTCTGTGGTGTGCTGCAGGAGGAGTGCGGGGTCAGCCGAGCGCAGGGGTTTCCCTGCACTACGGGAGCGGGGGTTGAACCCGGGCAGATGCGTGTGGGGGTTTGGCTGCGCCGAGGGAGGAGGAGGCACGCGCCGGCTTCCCTCTGGGGGGTGGGGAGAATCCTGGGAGGAGGCGGCTGCAGGGGACTCTCTGCCCCCACTGGCCCCCTGTTCCCTCTCCCTGGCCCTCTGTTCCCTCTCCCCACTCCCAAGCCTCAAAAACCTGTCCTCACTGGCACCCTGTCCCCTGCCCTCCTGGCACCCTGTTCCCTCGCCCCTGTCCCCATTCCCTTGTTCCCTCTCCCAACTCCCCAGCCCTCTGTTCCCTCTCCCCTGTCCCCAGCCGCAGAACTCTGTCCCCACTGGCACCCTATCCCCTGCTGAAGCACCCACTAGCACTATGTCCCCTGCTCCCACCAACACAGTTGGGGCCACATTAGTGAAGCTTTGGGAGCGGGGGGCTGGAGGAGGGTTTTTTTGCATCTCACTTGTGTGGCCCCAACTGACCTTTCTGTGGGTCAGTGACCCCTGACTCAAAACAGGTTCCCTGCCCTTCTCAGAAATAAAGACAATACAGAAAATTTTTATGTTTGAAATAGTATTTTATTTAAAAATGAAGCCTGGCCAACAAACCCCCAATTTGGGCCAAATCCCCATCTGGCCACAGCATCATAACACTCCTCCACTCCCATTTCCCCGAGACCCTACATCTGAGCCTATCATACACTGGAACCCCTTGCCCTCAGCCCCTCACATACCCCAACCCAAATTCCTGAACCCTCACATCCACTGTGGCTTGCTTAGTACCCTAACCCTACATCTGACACCAACACTGCCCGGCCTGGAGCCCCCTCCCCAAGCCAGCGTTCCCTTATCCACCTCCTTCTGAATCCAGATTTCCTCTCAAAGCTTGCACCTCTCACCCCTTCCCACACCAAAATTCCTCATTACCACCCCAGAGCCTACACATCCTGTCTCAGCCCAGCGAAGGTACGGCTAGACAGCAGGAGTTTTTCAGGATTCTGCAGATATTCCAGAAAAACTCTTCTGCATCCAGGGATGCATTTGTTCTTCCACTTCTTTTAGTGGAAGAGCAAACATGATCTTTTGGTCACTCCTATAGTCCTCTTTCCATGAGGAATAAGGGGGCTTCCAAAAAGAAGGTGTTTTTCTGACATTTGGTCCAGTCTAGACAGGCCAAATGTTGGAAAAACTTCTTCCTACAGAAGAATTGGGGGGGTGGGGGAGTAGCAGTATAAGGGTTGGGTATAGCAAGTGATGGAGAGGAGGAGAATAGAGAGGGTTTCAAGGAAGAGGCGGGGCTTCAAGGAAGAGACAGGGCAGTAGATCTTGGCTTGTTTGATCATTTAAAAAGTGATCTTGGGTGTAAAAAGGTTGGAGACCACTGATGTAGAGTATAGACACTAATTCCAGCTAACACAGGTATAAATAGTTAGATGGTGAGGCACTACATTGATGAGCAGAGACAACACTCCAGAACCCTAGAGTTCTAGGTCATATAGCTCTCTACACATCCAAGCAGTGTTTCCCATGCCTACAATGCTATTTTTAGCAACATAAGAGTCTGGCTGCCTCCTTGCTGCCAGAGCATTCCCCATTGTCATGTACAGCTACACAACTCAATGTGGAAGCAGCCTTTCCCTGCAGGGTGTTTTATAAGGCACCACAAGTGGAGATAGGTCTAAGTGTAGGACTTTGCACTTACCTTTATTGAGCTTTTTTGATCAATCACTAATTTGCCAATTTGCCAGTTCTAACCCTAATCCCCAAAGTTCATACTATCCACTCCATTACCAAAATCATTAATGAAAATATTGAAGAGTACAAGATCCAGAACCTACCTCTGTAGGATTCCACTAGATACATCTCCCCAGTTAGATAGCAGGCCATTGATAACTCCTCTTTGCCAATTGCACACCTGCCTTATTCAAATATGTTTCTTTACAGATAGGTACTGTATATGATCTTCTCAATTTCTGAAGGATTATGCTCAACTTCCATGAGTTCTTCAGCAAACCATCTACAATTCCAAGGTTGCTTTCACAAGTTCCTTAAGTATCCAAAAGTAATTTTCCTCAGGCCCTGACAACCTGAATACATTGACTATATCTACATATTTTGACCTGTTCTTCCTCTATTTTAGTGTAGGTTTCTTCCTCCTTTTTGTTAATATTAATTGTATTGAGGATCTTGTCGCCATTAATGTTTTCAGTGAAGACAATAGTAGACGTTATAAACCTCAGCCTTGTTGATGTCAATTATTAGCTCTTCTTCTCCACTAAATAGAGGACCTACATTTGCCTACATTTTTCTTTTGTGCCTAGAATGCTTTCCTTTAGGAGCTGCCCCACCATCTCTCTGAAGTAGAACTGGGAAAAAAATTTAAGCTGAAACTTTTGCCAAATCTACATTTTTCAAAAGTTCTTAATCAATTGGAATTTTTTTTTTTGGCACTTGGGGGAGGGGGTAACAGTTCAATCCCCGGCCACCCACCAACCCAGGGAGTATCACTAGCGTGATGGCCAGCACCAGCTGCCCCTTGAGGAAGGCTGGATAAGGGGGGCTCTGAAGGAAGGCATGTGGGGTTGTATAGTATGGGTTCTCACATGGCATAGGGGTTAGGGTATTGACTTAGCAACCCCAGACTTGTGAGTTCAAACCCTGTCTACTCAGTTCTAAAATAGTGATTACATATGTGAGGAATGGGTGAAGTACTTTCCTTCTCTGGACATCCCAGCCACTCAGTTAACTAAAAGCTTAAAGCCAGAGACAATAGATCCTTGAGAGTCTCCAGGAAGTGTTGCTAGGGAGCCAGAAGAGCCAAGAAAGGAGACTGAGAGGTTTTTAATTGAAGTGGGACCTTCCTATATGAGGAGGTCCCTTTATTTATTTTTGGGTGTGTGAATTCCTCTGTGTTGAGTCTATGTCCTTCTCCTCTCCGCTGTACCCTGTAACTTTTAAACTGAATCCCAGGAAAGCAATTCTCTATGTCTTTAAATGTGACTTTTTCAGTTTCCCTGCAACACCTAGCAACCAAATATGCTTTACTAAGTATATCTTCTTTGTTTTGTTAATAAAATCATTTTTAAGACAATTGTCTGATTCCTGTGTCCTAGAAGGCTGAAAGTTCCACTTTCACATATCTGGGATTGAAAGGTCTGCTATTAAGAAATTTCAGTTTGTTTTCAAGCACTCTCTGGAGGGAGAATTAGAAAGCTTGAGAGTACCTCACAGGAAGCAACTCCCAGGAGCGTCTTCCTGGGTTCTTAAAGAGGTTTCTGCATTTGGGTGGTGGCAGCATATCACTGAAGGTCGGGGAATCTGTGATCTTGGGGAGTTTTTAAGCAGAAGCCTTTAGTGGCAGAGGATTTTAAAGCCGTGTGGGAGCCCCTACCTTCTTCTCTTGAGTGTCAAAGTGGATAACAGCCTTGACAACATACTTTTAAAATTAGGGGCAGAATAATTTGTTGTAACATTAGTAATATAAAAGTAGGTATCACATTCCCTGTTTTGTTCCTGTTTTTTGTTTGTTTGTGTTGCAATGAGATATTTCATACTCAGGTGATACCCTACCATGCATTTGCTGAATGGGTAGTCATTTGGCAATTGAAAATATTTAGGAGGCTAGTATTGTGGTCAAACTATTCTGTGCTTATTACTGTTCCTTTCTCCCCTACCTTCCCCCACCCCCCCAAAAAAAGGGAAAGGTACATAACCCACCTTAGGTTTTAAATGTTGGTTGCCATTAAAAAAATCCCTATAGAGCACCAGAGCGGAATCGGTATCTTAAAAAGGCAGAGCAGTTCAGAAACTTTTACAGTTACTGATGGGGCTTGATTTGTCATTGTGTGACTCTGCAGGCCTTCGTCAAGATCATCACACAGATGCATTTATGTTGCCTTTTTAAAGCGAAATCATTTCAGACCTTGATCTTTGTGAGCTCATGGATAATTTATCACCCTCAACTTTGGAGAGCTATCAGTCTGCCATCTCTCCCTCTGCTCTGGACTGCAATGCTTTCTTGTGTAATGGTAAAGTACCCATTGCTGTGGCTAAGTAAGCTGCAGCTAAGCTGAACATGCAGAATAAAATGAAACATATTGGCTTCTTCAAATGAGGATAAAACTGATTCACCAAATCCCTTAAAGACAAGGATCAGTGAAGATGCAGAAACACAAATAATACTGAAGGGGTGGGGGGGAGAGGGAACCCTAGATATTCTCTGTACAGTATATTTCTTCCCCATAGCTTGAAGCTCTGTCTATATATGCCCGTGTACAATATGTGCAAAAAGCTTTTCTGATAATACTTTAAGTGTGAACCATAATGCTGGATTCGACAC